GAGAGGAGGCGTGTATAACTGTATGCCATCAAAAGCCATTGGCATCCCCACTCAGGCTACTTGCAAATTTCTTAATGGCTTAATTTTGAAATATGTACTTTTTGTGGGATTGTTTTTGCAAATAGTATTATTCACTCCCCAGCTTCATTTCCCACTTTAGCAAACAATTTTCATTAGTGAAAATACCAACTGTACCTCCATTTTAAGCCTCTTTCTCCATCTTCCAACACAGAATCTGTGGGAAAACTGCATAAATGAATCACAATCTCATTGAACTTTGCATTGACTTCAGGACTTTCTTGTATTTTAAATTTGATTTTGTTATGCAGGGGAATGCCAATGGCCCTAGTACTAATCAGGCTGGATTGTGGCACACAGCAAGTGCCTGATCAGGATGTGTATGTCAGAGCCCTTACTGAGGAAGAAACAAGGGCATCAGTAAGAACACAGCCACCATGGACCTTACTGAAATGAAGGGCAGCTTTTCTTGTGGGTGGACTTTAGTACTGTTAAGCAGCTGAGCTGAATTCCTGCAAAAGTTGAGAAGGTTGTTATGCTTGGCCAATTAAATATGTTGAAGTGGGGAGAAGTGTAGATATGTTTGCTGGTGCTGCAAAAAGATGCATCTTGAATGAAATTCAGTTTGGGGTTTTTTTATTTGGTTTTCAGCGGGGGAGGCCTGCTATTGTTTAAAAGCCACCATGAAACTTCTGGACAGATGTGAAACTAACATTATGTATGCATTATGAATGGTTCTCAGGTTTTCAGCTGAATTGGAAGAAAATGGATGAAATATGACTTTAGTATTGCTTACTGACAATGAATTTGGAAGCTGACATGTCCATGTCATTCAGCACTAGATACTACTTCTATTGCTTTAGCAACTACTCATGTTGTCTTCTCTCTGAAACTGCTATAATGATTTACATGTCTTGGGATTCTTTATTTCTACGTTTTATTATTGTTTCTGAATAGCTCTTAGCATGCTTGTGGACATTCATTAGAGTAGAATTGCTGGAGATCCTGCAGCTTGAGTAAACAAGGAGCTGTCTTGTTTTCAGCAGTAATAAGTGTGACCATTATCTTTTAAAAATTGTCAAGAGAAATAAATTTATGATATATGCAACAGTATTGTGCTGCTTTTATTTTCAAAAGCACTGGCATAAAAGCCAATGTATTTTTCTGTATCCTGGCATTTCAATATCCATCAATCTAAGCAAAAGGTTTAACTGTCACTGGTTTCATTGGGAAGGAATAATAAAGATTACAAGAAGCCCTTTTAATTAATGCATTTTTAATGTTAGTCTGTAAAACAGTCTTAAACCCAAGAACTTCATGTGTAGGCAGAAAAAATTATTTTCTTTGCATCTTTGTTCCAAGAAGGATACAATCTCAAATTGTATGCACTGCTTAGCAAGCAGTGTTGTGCAACTCTTGGGTGGAAGAAGATGCTGGGGCATGAGTCCATGTCCTTATTCATGTCCCTAAGGGTGAATCCTTTTCAGGACTAGCTCTTCTGTTTGCCTTGTAGATGTGACCAGAGTTAAGATCAAACGACACACAAGTTAAAGACGTTATTAGACCTCAGGTCCTGCAGTGAGATCAGTTGTGAGTCTTCATCCACAGTTTCATGCTGGAGTCTACCATGGAGCTTTCTGCTTCTGGCTGTCCAGGGTGGCAACCCTTTTAGAGCACAGGAACTCTAGGCTGGAATAGGCTGAAAGAACCTAGGTTGGTTCAGCTTTTATATCTACCCCCTTATCTTACCCCAGTGGCAATGTGCATACGACACACATTTAGTCCTAAACAGTAAGGAATGTGTGTGGATTCAAGTTCACATTTCTGCATTTTACATGTACTTGTTGAGATTCAAGTATATACTTAAAAACTTTTAAGAAAGGACTCTGCCTAAAGAATAATTATGAAATGTAAACCCTTATAATCTGAGGACCCACAGAAAGCATCTGCAACTTGGACTGATTTCCACAGTCATGCACTGTCCTCTTCTGGCATGTTACTCAATGATCCTGGCAGCAGAGTCGGTATTTTCCCATGACAGATCTTAAGAGTGTTTTAATCCCCAAATCCAGTATTGTACTTCACTCCCCCACGGCTGCATTCATACTAATAAACTAAACATTGTCAATCACTGCCACTTTTGAGACCAACAGACCTGAGACTGCCTGCTTCCACTGCTAGCAAACTTCATCATCTCCCAAAATGGAGCGGTTACATCCAAAGTGCCTGTTGGGAGTTAACTGTGGTTGATCCTCATTCCCGAAGAGCAGCCAGGAATTATTTGGGGAAGTGCTGTTTGGAATAGGTCAAAACTTTTCCAGGAACTGTTACCACAATATAGATGGCAGAGTTCTCGTGCCAAGAGCATTCCTGGGTGCTATTAAATGTACCAGTATGGGAGTAGCCTATTTTAATTAGCAGGGCAAAAGGCTTGTTCCCAACAGTGTAATGGGAAACAGGGCTACCGGGAAGTCAAAAAACCATAAGATTGCTCCAGCTTAACCAATGCTTCTGAATGGCTCTCTTCCCTTCAGCCTGGTGCTTAAGTGTAGTCAGAACTCAGGTTAGCAGCCTGTTAGGATGCTGCCATCTTCTTGGTTTGTCTAAATTTTGGGTCTCCTTTTGCCTAGCTAATTTTGAAGGGTATCAGATTCTGCTGTTTTCAAATTAATTTCTCCAGCTCATGCTCTTCTTTCCTTAATATTAATTAGTTTAGAGGAACATATTTCATTAGCATCTATGATTAACCCTTGAAGTTTTAGCAAGTGAGTGAGATGTTGCTGCAACTGTCTGAATGTGGAACACCTGTGGACACTTTGATATGCTGATTTCCTTCTGGAGAAAATGCTTTTCTCTCTGGAACATTAATTGGACTCTCACTTCTCTGACTTCCCCCTATCCCTGCAGCGTGGCTTATGCTATGTTCTACATTGTTATGACTATAGGTTTAATATTATGAAAAACACCATTCAGACAATATTTTGATAGTCTGACAACTCCAGATGCTTTGCTGGGTTTCCATAGAGATGCTACACGAGGAATTAACATATATGACTGACGTGACTGATTTTGTCTTTAATGCGGTTCAGAAACCTGAGTCCCTTTCTTGTGACAGGGATGCTTTACTAATGTATTACTTAATCGGTGTAGTAGGGTGTTTTCTGTATTCGAAGTCAGTGCACAGTCTTGTTGAGAAAATTTATTTGCTTCCACTCTTGTAATTGTCTTTTCTAATACTGAGGCTGAGTTAGCTTTTCATCTATCAGTGTGCTGATCTGGAAAATGCAGTGTCTGAAGCTTCCACCCCTTTTTTATGCAAATAATGAGAACTCCCACATGCAGCATGTCATTCTTTTGCCATCCATAAGGAATTAGAACATCCAGGTATACCTCCAAGTTGCCAGATATTTCTTTGCAGAGCTTCAACCTTCTCAAATATATTCCAGACTTTCTGTAGGAGTTCTTACTCTTTCTGGCATAGAAATAAATTATTTTAGCATAGGTAGAGCAACACAAAATCTGCAATGTAAAACCTCAATTTCCCGAAATTGTTCTGTGCAATCTCACTACTCAACCACTTATCTTTCATGTAAAAAATATATGTGCTTTATGCTTGGTTAAGAAGACTATTAATTTATTTAGCTTTGGTATGCTTTGTACATCAGGGAATCTTATGCTTCACTTGATTCTTTCTGCATTGTGCATTGCCTGAGGTCCAGGTAAGGGAAGAAAGGGAGTGAACTGGGACTGCTGAGACTCTAAAAGCATGGCTTGCTACAGCTTGAGCAAGTACAGTACCTGAATTGATAACAAGGTTTTGTGTTGTGTGGAGTAGCGGAGAACTTGTGGGTTTCCGTTGTTTTTCACCACTTCTCAAGTGAAAGTCACACACTGACCAGCAGGACATTTTCCAAAAATGCATCTACTCATCATTTGAGATCATGAAGTGAAAGAAAAAACCACACTTCGTAGTCTGTTTTAGCAGTTAGTCATCAGCACTTGTAGGCCAAGGCTTTTTCTCCAAGGTTAAGTAGCTGTCTTTGATAGGAACATCTTCGCCTGGCAGAGCTACCTGGTTGTGCTATTAGCAGAGTAAATCTTAGTGTCAAATGCCTCTTGAAGCACTCTTTCTGCTCTCACTTCAGTACTTTCATGCTTTTCAAAGCTGTACATAGGAATAAAGTTGACTCTTTCCTCTAACTATTCATTTGAGTGGGCGAAGTCTTGAATAGATATGACTGGGACTGCAGGTTTGGAAACTGGTTCCTGATCATGGCAGTGAAACTCCTATTCTTGCTATTTGATTTTGTTGCTGCTTGTGACTATATTTAACTGTACTTGATTAAAACTGTGAACAAAGCAATGATACTTTGAAAATCTTGTTTATAAGGGATGCGATTGGAAAAATAAAATTGCCCTTGCCAAAATAAGAGATGTCAGTGTTGTGCAATTCTGCTTCAACTAAAGGCAAGCAGTATGTTTTTTTTTCAGTGCTACAAAATGCTTCAGTCTTTCTGCTTAATTAAGAAATCTGTTGTAAGTTTATATTGTATTAAGCATGAAGGAAAATTCCTTAAAATAATCTTTTAAATTACTTATCTTAGATTTACAGATCCGGTAGGAGGATTTGCAACAGTTCACTGAAGCGGTTGAATCCTGGTGAAGTCTTATAGTATGTGAGCCTGTGTTTTAGGAGCTTTACAATGAGGAAAGAAAGCATAGCCACTGTAAACCATTAATATGCAAATAACAAGAATTGTTTGTTTAAAAATTCCTCCCAGCAAATGTCTTGTCCATAATACAGGCTCTGATCTTCTGTCCCATTTCATTCTGTCTATCTCCATAACCTTCTGTTCCACCTGTGATGTTTTTAAGCTGTCACTTGATAAAATGTCTAGGCTAGATTCCAAGGGTGGAAAAAAAACCTGTATTTATTTTTATGGAAACACTAACAATTCTATTTGGATTGTATTTCTTCATAGCAAAACCAATGGATTATTGAACAGATTGGGCTTGGGTTTGCCAAAGAGTGATTCTTGTCAGATTGCTAATCATGGCCCAGAATCTACAGCATGGGTAAGCAAAACCATGGCATGTGCTATATTTTCTATCAGCTTTCCAGGTGCTGTCAATAGTGTAATATTAGAGTATTCTAACTGAGCTTAATTGCCTAGACAGAGCTCAGTGAGTGCCAAGGACTCTTTCTGGGTGAACGAGATTGTCTACATTGTTTCTTACACACTGACAGACTATCTTACATAGTAAGGGACTGTCTTCATTATTCACAGACCTCTCTTTGCTAAATAAGAACCAGATTTAGTTTCTAAGGTCAGATCAGAATCTTAAATGTGCTCTGTACCCATCCATTGGTGGCAAGCTTTTATGAAATCTCAACTAGTTCGTGTCAGCAGATGCTTAACTGTGTTGGAAATCTAGTCAGAAGAGAAGCTTATTCCTCACTGCATCCTAAAAGTGGTTCCATAGACTGCTTGGGGACTTCGCCTCAGTTTGGATGTGCCTGTTAAGTATCAATGTAACTAGGAGATACATAAAGTATTGCTTAAGTTGCATTAATCTAATTGCCTCAGAAAGGCTTGTCTGCATACGATTAGTCTCTTTCCTCCTAATGTAAACGCTTCCAGTGATGGATATTAAGTCTGAGACAGAAGTAGTTCTCCTTTAGGTAGGTTCATAACTGGGGGAAAGACAAAGAGCCGGCAGCCAAGTGGGCAGAAATTGTTGTTACAAGCAATAGTCCTTAGCAGAAACTTGGAATTATCCAATCTAGGTAGCCCTCGGTTGTATACAACCTTGAACAGGTTTGAACTGAACCAACAGCTGAGTAAAGAGAGAGAAAGCTTTACCTCTATATTTCCTAAGAAGTCTTGGAAATGTGCAGTATCCTCCTGTTACAGAAATGGCTGCAAACAGAATATATGACATCTCTGCCTTGCCCCTAGTGTTGCTTCCTGATTTTCATTGCATGAAAAGGGAAGGTGATAGAAAAATGATTCTTTTCCCCTTTGATTCCTCAGGTCATTTTGTGTGTCTAAGAATGCTAAAGAAATTTTAGCATGTGTAGGCAGATATATAGTTTGAAGGAGTCAATCTCTGCTGAGTGTTGTTGGGCAGAATGTCAATTGCAAGGAGGGTGGATTTCAGACTGTCTTTGTACTCCTGGGTGGACAAATAAGATGAAGGATTATGGGAAGGAAGAAAATATGTCTTGAAACGACTTCTACTTACCTCTTAAGCATCCGACACTGAACAGTGGGGAGCTTGTACTTCGGTAGGGAAGACCCAGATCTGCAGCCTTTTGTATGGTGTGAACATTGAACTGCAAAGACAACCAAGCTCATGTTCTCAGGACTGAGTTGGACTTCAGTATTCTGGTGTCTTCATATCTATACAGAAGTGGGTGAATGCCTGAGGGAACACTGAATTCTTTCAGGTGTACAGGTCCTACTTTTAGTCTTTGCCTTCTACTTCACTTAACTATATGCGCCTTTGTCATATCAGCTTTTTAATGGTTTTTTTATAAGTTATGCCAAATTACATATCATAGTTTATCTTTGGCTTTACTAGTATCCAAGCAAATAAAATACATCGTTTTCTGTACTGTTCTTTAATACTAGCTGATATTATACATGTCTTTTGAATGGCAGCATTTCTATAGCTTTATGGATCAATTCATCACTTGCTTATAATGCAGCAATGCAGTTAGAAAAATGTCTTCCCAAGCAGCTTAGATGAGGTACATGTAGCCTCTGTGCTCTGTGTGAGGACCCTGAAGCACATAACCAATGAGTTGTTGTCTAAATAAACTTAGCATACTATCAAAATGCTACACCAGTGGAAAACCTGAACTCTAATTTTGATGTTATCATGGACCTGTCCTTTGTCTAGAGTAATTAAAAAATCCAGGAACAACGTATCTGAAATAGCGAAGTGTGATAAACTTAGGAAGTGCCTGACATGCATGCTAAAAGGGGGGTGGTGGATAAATATATGATTTTTTAGATTTAAAATTCATGTTAGAAAAAAGTTTGGGACAATATAAAGTTGATTGATTTTTTTTCACTCACATAATTTCTTTGGTAGTTGTATTCATTTAGCACACTTAGTTCAAATATTAGTGTTAAATATTACTTGATGTACGTGAACAAATTTAACTTCTTTGGAGTGACTCTGTCATTGGTGACTTTTCTGACCTGCTTATTTAATCAAGCCCATAATTAATTTTAATCCTGTCTTTCAAAGTCTTACCAATCCTGTGTAGATTTTTACTGTCTTCCATTTTGATTAACACACACTCCACACAATTCTCCAAGCCATTACAGAGAGTAATGAATAATATTGGACCTAGAATGAGTCTCCCTGGACACATGTAACAACTTTGCCCAGCTCAAAATTGAGCTATTAATAATTGCTTTCTCTATTCAGTCTTTTTAGCAAATTATGTGCCTGTTGTTTTAATGGTGTCAGTCTGCATGCATATATCAAATTTGAGAACATTGTGTAGACCTGCAACAAAGTCCTCACTAAAGTCAAACCTGCACACTTCTTGTATTAAATTATACTGGCTCATTATTTAGTGTGCTACACTATGTCCCTGCTCAAAGACTTTACAGTATAAGTTCCTATGTAAAAGATCCTAAGGATCCTATAAAATCCATAGGCTGGCTCTTTGCTAACTACAACTTGTGAAAGACCAGGGTTAGTTATAGTACTGAAAACCTACTACACAGTTGAATGCATTATTCATGATGTATAGTTCAGATTTTCAGTTTTCTTGGCTGCCCCACAAATAATATAGCAGTTTTGATTTCTCAGTTTCTGTTGCCCTACATCCGCAAGTGCCTTTCCACAAATAATCCACAAATAACAAACCACAAATAATTCCTCTCTGTTACCAGGCCTCCATTCTGCTTTGATAGCTTGGTAATGTTTTCTTTCTTCCCAGAATACCCCATCTTACTATTATATAACCTGATTGTGTTATCTGACTGCTCAGGGCATGTTTATGCCTACCACTGGGACACCAAGTAGGATGTGCTCTGGCTACCTGGTTGTGATGTGCAGGTGGACATTGAGCCAAACTAAATGACCAAGAGACTTTAGACCTCTTCTTGTTTAAATTCTAGTCTTGAGACTAATCTATTTTTTAAGTAACTGGAATCATTCAACTGGTTCTGTTTTCTTAAATACCTGTATAAAAATTTGGGAATAAAATTAGGGGGGTTGTCCCCCTTCTCCCCACACCAATATGTTTATATTCTCTGCTGAGTGATAGATGAGAAGCCGTACTTATAAGCAAGCTCTTCGAGAGGATGAAAACAGAAGATTAGAGGAAATGAAGCAAGAACAACGGAGGAAGGTAATTATACATTAATGGTTTGCATATTGTATCGTTTTTGCATGCTGTGAAACCAATTAAATACATTGATTACTTGTAGCCTACGCACAGAGCTTCTCTTTAGCAAAAGTGATTCAGTCACTGTTTTCAAATATTGTGAGAGAGATGAGCCAAGCTGTAAAATTTGGACAGGGACAGGACAATTACCTTCTGGGTTCAAGGCTATTCACATCTGGATGACTGGCTCTGTTCGCCTCTCCATCTGAACAATTGTGCAGAGAATTTTTTGACCATGGCTCCTGATTTCATAGGCTAAGGAAACCAATCTCCTCTCTTTCAGGCAGAAGTAATCTTATGAGATTCTGAATAGCATTCATGATATTCATGATGATCTCAGACTCTGAATAATCTTTTTTTTTTCTAGAGAATTGAGGCCTGCGTGCTTTGCTTTCCCAAAAGGGGATGTGGAAGCTCTCAGTTTTGCTTTTAAGTCTGTGTTCTTCTCTGCTCCCTTGCTACCCACCTAAATCAAGAGTTTTGCATTGTCTAAAAAACAGGCATGCCATAATTGCAAGTCTGAACTCCCTCTTCTGCATAAGTAGCACACATTGCCTCAAATGTGTCTGAACAACTGTAGTCCCTCTGGCACAGATTTGGGTACCATATCCACATAAAGTTTACAACAGAAAGCAATGGCACTGTGCTGCTATCTGCCTTGCTCCAGGTCTGACTGTGCAAGTATGGGGAAAGCAGCATTTGAAAATCATATTAGCAAATAATTTGAAAACATATTAGCAAATACTGAGCCTCTTGCTATGCCTCTGCTGTTACTAAGATCCGAATTAATGTTACACTACTTCCCCAGTAGCAGGATCTTAATGCAACAAATTCCACACAGTGAGCTTCCATTACAGCTGGACAAGCCCCTCTCATGGATATATCTTTCTTTAAATGTCTGGGACAAGTGTCCTCATTTCACAGGCCTGTTCTGTTTCATAGATCTGTTCCAGTCTCGCTCCATGCTAGGCACCACTCTGCTATCTCGAATGCTGGCATCCTTGGTCTTATTTTCTGTCTTCTTAGTTGTTATCAGTCCCATGATGTTCCTACCCCCCTCAGCCGAACATTCCTTTCTCTCTACATGTTAGTAAGAACAGTTTGGTCTATTCTACTACGTTAAAAACACATACACTGTTGTTAGTTTAAGATTTAAGGTTACATTTCCCCCGTTTGAGACTTACAGGATATACATACATGCTGTAAGTCTCTTTGTATACCCTTTAACCGTATTTGATTCTAATACACTATCGTGAGCAACAACTACAAAATTGAATCATGATACATGCAAGGATTCAGACACAAATTATTACTGTAATGATCACAAACAAGTTTTCTAAGAATATGCAGTTTGGTAGCCAAGAAGTAAGTCCATGCCATAATTCTTCAAATCCCCAGTTAGTATCATCTCTAACTGCCTGATGTAAGATCTTTGTCTGCTTTCAGTTTTCTGCTGCATCTGCCCCTCTGGTCTGTGTATGTGCCAAGAGCCATACTGTTCTGTGATGTTACCTGGGGTAGACTGGATGCCTCAATCTGTAATGCCTGTATAGCTCCTGGGCGTACAACACCCAATGTACATTTTCCAGTCCGTCCTGGGGGAAAGGACCTTTCTAGCAGTATTATTACACAACCAATACCACCCTTTCCCTTCTGGGGCATTGCCATAGCCAGTTTGGGGTCCCTTAATCCGGAGTTGCATTGTCCAGCTACAAACTGGGTAAAGGCCTACCAAGATATTACCAGAGCTAAGAGTTTTACCCAGTGCCACCAGGTGTTGTCTGAGATCCTGTTTTCCCTGCAAAAACATATTACCAGGAACAAAAGGCTGTTGGTAAGGCCACCCATACATCGGCTCATATGGACTCACATGATTACTTCCTGGTTGTATATTTTAATTGTAACTTGAGTGTCCCATTCATACATTTCACTTTCCCACTAGCCTGAGGTCTATATGTGGTATGCAGGTCCCACTTGAGTCCCTAACCCTCCCACCTTCCTAACTACTTCTGCAATAAAATGCAGACCTCTGACCAAGGACAAGCCTACTGGTACACCATATTGGGGTATGATTTGATTCAATAAATGTTTTACTACTTCAGAAGCTATATTGGTATGACAAGGGAAAGCCTTCGGCCAACCAGAAAACTATTAGTACCAATATATACATATACCTGAGCCCGTTGTGCTGTGGCATTTCTGTAAATTTCACAGCTAAAGGTTGGGCAGAGAAGAGACTCAAGCAGCCCTGAGGAGAAGGACTTGGGGGTGGTGGTTGATGGCAAGCTTAACATGAGCCGGCTTCAGTGTGCGCTTGCAGCCCAGAGACCAACTGTATCCTGGGCTGCATCAAAAGAAGCGTGACCAGCAGGTCGAAGGAGATGATCCTGCCCCTCTACTCTGCTCTTGTGAAACCTCACTTGGAGTATTGTGTACAGTTCTGGTGTCCTCAACATAAAAAGGACACGGAGCTGTTGGAGCAAGCCCAGAGAAGGGCCACGAGGATGATAAGGGGGCTGAAGCATCTCCCATAGGCTGAGAAAGTTGGGGCTGTTGAGCCTAGAGAAGAGAAGACTGCATGGAGACCTCAGAGCAGCCTTCCAGTATCTGAAGGGCGCCTATAAGGATGCTGGGGAGGGACTCTTCGTTAGGGACTGTAGAGGTAGGACAAGGCGTAATGGGTTCAAACTTAAACAGGGGAATTTCAGGTTAGATATAAGGAAGAAGTTCTTTACTGTGAGGGTGGTGAGGCGCTGGAATGGGTTGCCCAAGGAAGTTGTGAATGTTCCAACCCTGGAGGTGTTCAAGGCCAGGTTGGACAGAGCCTTGGGTTTCGTGGTTTAGTGCAAGGTGTCCCTTCCCATGGCAGGGGGTTTGGAACTGGATGATCTTAAGGTCCTTTCCAACCCAAACCATTCTATGATTCTATGATTTTGGAAACAAAAGGTGGGGGAAAAATGAGGGTTTCCCATCAGATATATGCTTATTCTCAGGAACTATACAGAGGAAATATTTTTGAAAGCCTGTCCTGATAGGTGTAAGGTTGGTAGCTGTTGTATTCTTTACATTGATCATTCCATAGAGAAAATAACTACAAATGTGAATTAGCAGGCCCCTTCTTTATGAAGGTTTGGTTTAAAAGATTCACATAGAGCTTTAGAGTCTTTATGGATTTCCACACATTGCTAAGAAGCTGTTGACTGCTTCTAAGGCTGCTCTTGCTTGGCACGTGGTTCCAAGTGCTCCTTGCCTTCATAGTTGCTCCTACCTATTGCAGAGTAATGCACTGCTTACAAACCTACTGTAAATAGTATGTATTTTAACAGCTCCAGTAACCATCCCTCAGGTATATGTTGGCTCATTTCCACTTCAAACTAATATTTATTAATGTAATTGTGAATTGTGTCTTGTGCGTACCTCCTAGCACAGTGTACCTATAAAACATGTAGGTATTGTAAGTTGCCCACCCCCCCGCCGTTTTTTCTCAGAGCAGTTTTAGTATGTATTGCTTGATTTAGAAATTTTCAGTATGCTTTGAACACCACATCATATACACACCATATATTTCAGAACATTACTCCAAAAGAGGACTCAGCATATTGGAAAGTTAGATACTGAGGTTTAATTTTCAGGTTGAATAGTTATTTAAAAAAGTGAAAATTAAGGTTGGCTTTTTTATTTCTTAATCCCATTTCTTCCTTTAGGGGGCTAGACAAATATTGATACACAACACATTCACAGATATTGATTTTCTTCATACATCTATTGCATAGTTTTTATTTAACGTTCCACTTAAATTGATTTTCTTTTTTTTAACTTTTGTGGTTCCATTCAGTTATTGAAGCTTTTCTCTAACTGCCTCATTTTATTTTAGTTTCTGTTCCTACCACTGCTCAGTTGCTATGGAAAATATGAAAGATGGGTCTGTTCCTATCCCTTCCCTCTCACCCTGCAAGCCAAATTTTCTTCTCAGAAAAATCAGCAACTTCAATTCTTGGGTGCATTGCAGAGAGCAAGAGCCAGACAAACAAGCACACATGCAAAGCAGAGTCATACAAGCTGTATGACTTTCCTTCGCAGTTCTGACTAAAATTGCATAAGGAAACTCTCCTCTGAAAAGAATTTCCTTTGGCACTGTGTTTAATATCAGGTCGTGTAAGAACGGTAGGCTGCTGCAACACTGGGAGCTTGCACGCTGTTTCACCGCCCCAAAAGAATCATAGAATCATCGAATCAGCTAGGTTGGAAATGAGGTTAAAGACCATCAATCAAGTCCAACCATTACCCCAGCACTGCCAAGTCCACCACTAGCCCATGTCACTAAGGGCCTCATCGACACGGTTTTCGAACACTTCCAGGGATGGTGATTCCACCACTGCCCTGGGCAGCCTGTTCCAATGCCTGAGCACTGCCGGGCCAGCCTGTTCCAATGCCTGAGCACCCTCTCGGTGAAGAAATTTTTCCTAATATCCGGTCTAAACCTCCCCTGGTTCAACTTGAGGCAGTTTCCTCTTGTTCTGTCGCTTGTTACTTGGGAGAAGAGATGGATTGCCACCTCACTACAACATTCTTTCAGGTAGTTGTAAAGAGCGACAAGGTCCCCCCTGAGCCTTCTCTTCTCCAGACTAATTAATCCCAGTTCCCTCCAGACTAATTAATCCCATCCCTCATCAGACTTGTGCTCCAGACCCTTCACCAGCTTCATTGCCCTTCTCTGGATCCACTCCAGCACCTCAATGTCTGTCTTGTAGTGAGAACTGAACACTGGATTCAAGGTGCAGCCTCACCAGTGCCAGTGCAGGGGGCAATCACTGCCCTGGCCCTGCTGGCCACACCATTGCTGATACAGGCCAGGATGTCATTGGCCTTCTTGACTGCCTGGGCACAAGCTGGCTCGTGTTCAGATCAGTCAATCAGCACCCCCAGGTCCTTTTGCACCAAGCATCTTTCCAGCCACTCTTCCCCAGGCCTTTAGCATTGCCTGGGGGTGTTGTGGCCCAAGTGCAAGACCCAGCACTGAGCTTTGTTGAACCTTATACCATTGGCCACAGCCCAGGTGCTATTTGCCCTTCCCTCATCCCTGGGGGAGCCCCAGAGAGCTGGAGGTGACACAACCCTGTTCCTGTCTTCTCTTTGCACACCATGGAGGCAGGAAGTGAAGAGCATGTCTCCTTTATACCCTACAGGCATGACAGCCATACCTCCTCCAGCTAAATGACTTTGACTGTCTTCCCCTTTGGGCCCACAGAGAAATGCAAACCTGTGGGCTGCAGCAAGGGGAAGCAGGCTGGTGTCTGACATACCCCTTTAAATGTAGGACTGTAAATGTCTGAATCCTGTTAATTCACAGTTTTTAAGGCACAGAGAAAACTCATGCAGTGCAATGCTGAACAGAAAAGTTAGCTCAGTTTTTAACATAGTGCTGTCATATAAATAAAATGCTGTTGAGAGAAATTCTGGGAATGACACATGGCTCTATCTGAAGTTAATACCATGTGGAATTAATTGGGTTTGCAGCATAGGTATGTTAATTAAAAGGAGGTTTGTTGTTTATTTGTTTGTTTTTGTGCTTTTATCCTTCCCAGGCTGAATTAATGGAATTTAAACAAAAGCAGAAAGAGGAAGACAGGATGAGAGCACGTCAAGATGAACAGAGGAGGTATGATGCAAAAATGCAGAGCACACTTCTATTGAATTCCTGTCTGGAAAGGGTCTCAAAATTGCAGGCGTTCATGCTTTTAGAAGACAATTGCAGTAAGGATCCCTGACCTCACCTCTGGTTTAACTTTGCCTTCAAATGAACCACTAATATCCATCATTACAACTGCCCATTGTAATGCAGTGTGACCCAGAGTGCCATTTTGTCCTTATTTATCCTATCAGGGTAGAATATTGCATAAAGGAGAAACTATTAGTAGTTTCATGGGTAACTACTAGTACAGTGGCTTCAGCTGGGAAACGCTTTATTTATCTATGTATTAATTTATTTTTACCTTGGTTTAGAACGGGCTGCTTTGTCCATGCCACATTTTGTGGCTGACTGTCACTATGTTTGGCAGGCAGAGCTAAGTGTGGGATTTGATGTTGATACAGACAGAAGCTGCAGTGCCTCAAGGCCTTCTGTAGCTGTATTGCTTCCTGCCCCAGGCTCTGCCCCACTGCTGTGCCCTCTTTGTGCTCAGCGGTTCTGATCTTGCATGTCTGTCACTTACCTGACTTTCCATTATCTTGAAACACAGCTGTATTCTCAGCTTTGTTTTCTGATGGCAGAAAGAAACAATGCCCAGGCTCTAAAATAAAAACACCATTTTTTTTTTCCTTTTTTATATCATTAAGGAAATATATTAAAAAAAATTACTTTTGTAGGCAACCACTCTCCATACCATTTTCATTTCTTTTTTTTTTCTCCAGCAAAGATATTGAGATAATTACCCATAGAAGTTAATGAAGGATTTTCAATTCAGTCTGTCTCATGCCCCTAGACAGAAATAATCCAGTATCTTGCATTTTACATCATCCTTACCAATAGCATTGTAAAACATTAAAACAACAGTCATGTCTAAGCATGTGTGTCAGTCCTAAGCATTAATAGGGGAGGAAAAAAGACATAGTTTTTAGAAGGTTTGAAAATATTTAAAACAGATTGAGGAAAAGTGTATTTGCATTGGTGTATGCTTTCTAGACTGATGGAGCAGTACGAGAAAATGCTAGAATGGATTTCAGAGCTGGATGGTAGGAAGAGTTGTCAGTTACATGAATTGTGTCTATTAGAACAAGCTGAAGTGGGTTTTTTCATTTGCATTAGGAAAGCAGTATTTCTAGAAACTCTTCTTCTGTACTGATGACTGAAAGTCTACCTCAGGTGAATTGTCAAAAGAGCTAACCTCCCTAATAAGGTGGGTGGTGGTATGCAAGTTGTCTTTCTGTAGAGAATTTTGGTGCATTTCTCACAGCAGCCAAGGTATGCCTTTAAATCACAAAGGACTGATCACAGGATAAGGAAGCATCCAGTGAACTGAAAATGAAATCCACCCTATCTCATGCCTGCCCATGGTTTCGCAGCACAGGCTTGAAAAACATAGGAAAATAGGTATTGAACTGAGAATAGGGAAAGCCACTGAATTTCAAGTTTGTGAACTTCTCAGATGCTTTCAATCATTATTCATTTTTTGTTGTATTTTAAGGGTAAATAACGCTTTCCTGGACCGACTCCAGAACAAAACACAACCTACTAGCATCGGCCAACCTGAAAATTCTGGGAGCCTGGACTAATGCAGTAACAGTGCTTGGGTAAAATTTTGGGTGCAGAACATGAAAGCAATGAGATAGTTTAAAAGTTGAATTTTTCCTCAGATATTAGTATGTGTCTGTGTGTGTTTAGCCTGTCTGACAGAACTCACTATCGTGGCTGTCAGTTTACAATAGCTTTTAAGAAGAAATTCTATCTTAAATACAAGCTGTTCAAATAGAAGGAGTAAGGAACAGCTGCTCTTGCAGCAGAACTTGCTTGCACATGCTTTGCATGCAAGGTACATACTGCAAGGAGCTGCATCCAAGGTACTTCCTTAAGTTCAGGACAAGGGTACTGAAATTGTAAAGGATTTTTAAAAAGTTTTTAAATGAAAGATGTTTGGAAATGCTATAAACATTTTAATGTGATATTGAAATTGAAGGGGAAAATATCACATGAAAGGTAAAGCTGTTAATTTTTTATCTATATAAAATTGTGACATAGAAGACTCAACTGCATCAATTTAAAGTACATACTATTTGTAAAGATTCTTCGAAGAAAAGATGTCTTGACTGTAGCCTATTAAACATCCATTATTTTTTCAGCTGTCCTAATGAGGCATTAATGTGACTGTTACTTAGAATTGCATCCTTCAGTGTAAAAACCAAAATTATGTAATATTCCCATTATGGAAATTTCCATTAAATTGAAATTCAATTGCTGGGAGGATACTAGTGCAGAAATGGAAGATTTAAAAAGAGCAGAAAGATGAGAGTCTAAGAAAATTTGGTTCCAGTGTGGAAGCAGATGTTTGGTTGATAAACCAGAAAAGCTTGAATTGGATTAGTTGGACTATATGTTGGCAGATGAATACCAGAAAGACTTGGGTTCAAGCATCTATGAAGTAAAGGCATGATTAAGAAGAAAATATTCTTAATGCTGGAGTTTTCCATATACTAGAAGTGGAAAAGGAGTGTCTTCATCACTACAAGCTTTGGGGAAGTCCTGGACCATGGCAGAGGGCTCAGGCATCTTGGACTGGTTCTTTTGGTCTTGCTAAGAGGAGGCAGGGTCTGCCAGCTCAATCTCCCATAAGGTCTGCAAGCAGCTGCTTGGAGAACCAGTTGGTCAGAGGCTTTACTGGTAAAGCCTGTATCACATGCCAGGCAATCCAGGAGTTGTTGGAAGCCAAACTACAAATGTCCAGGCTAGTAAAAGAGCGTGATTAAGAGAGCAGGCCTGAAGCATCTTCTGAAGGATAGCACATCTGCAGATGGCAGAATTAGACTTCAGGATGGAAAGACCTGGGTGATGCTTAGTAAGGGGCAAAAGGTAAAGTCTGCTAAAGAGTTAACAAAGGCAGCAAGGGCAGAGAGAAGTATTTTTGTTTCACTTTGCATCCTTTGTCTCTGTTTGTAAACTGTTTCCTGATAAACTCAAAAGAAAATGTGTGACACAGCTGAGATTCCCAATATATAAACTCGAGCATCTCCATCAGAACGCCTGCTGTCACCACTAAAAACCCTTGCCATTGTCTGCAGAGAGAAGGTTTGACTTTAGCCAGATGTCTTATGTCGTCTTCCTCAGGGTGGGTGTTAGTACCACCAAACAAGTGCATTCAGCCCAGCGCAGTTTTAACAAGACAACTCTGACATACGCAGCCAATTTATGCTATTTTTATTTTTTTTTGTAAATATATATATTCAAAGACTGCATCAACATAAATGCAATAAAACCCAGTGCGTAGAAATGATAAATGTTCTACTCTAATGTTTACTTAATGGCTCCCAAGGAGCCTGCCTTCTGTTGAATAATGCTAGATTATCCATTTTTCCTTTATGCTGTGATGTGAGATTTGAAAACTAAACAAAGCAGGGAAAGAATAAGCCATGAAAGAATATGTCATCATGGAAAGGAATTAAAAAAGGGTATTGGTAACAAAAGCAAGAAAGAAAAATAGTTCTCAAAAGATAGGCCGGAGGCTGCAACCTCACTGTCTTTGATTATATCAAGATTCTTCTCCCTTCCCTTAGGATTTTAAGCAAAAAGAACTGAACTCCAGATGGGGCTTGCAAGTCATGTAGTCTGCAGCGTGGCATTTTACGTTACAACGGAGCAAAATGTAGCAGGTCAGACTATAAGTGAAGATTAAAAGAAATTAGAAATGTTTCCAAAGCTAAGACCTGCAGGTAATTTTTGAGCCTGCTCCATCTGTGCAGTGGCACTGAAAAGGAAATATTTGTTCTTTTTCCTGCTTCTTTTTTTCCTGTTTGAACTCTGCAGTCACAACAGCTTCACACAGAACAGAAACTGAACATTGCACCATGCTGTCAATATACGTGCTTTATTTTTCACTATTATAACTGTTAGATTGATTTCCTAAGGAAAATAAGTTTGTATGATCACACTGTCTGTCTACATGTAATAAGGTTTTCAACCTGCTGGCCAATCTTAGCCAAATTTGAAAGGGACTATTAAGTCACAAAGGTGATTAAGTTCCACTGATGGCAGAGGAGAGACCCCAAACTAGTGCCCCACTCTGAGGGGTGGTGAGAAGGACCTGGGCACTCTGTGCATTGTTCAGCTGCAGCCCTCCAGCCAATTGGCATGGGCACAGCTCCAAAGCAGTTGCAGCTCTGCCCTGTTTTCCTGGGGGCCAAGGGACACAAAAGTGGACATGGAGAGGAGAGGGGAAGGCAAATTTATTGTGTGTGTCTGGGTGGGGTGGAGGAGAGCAGTTGCATTGCCCAATTGTCCACTGATCGATAGGAAACCAGTTTTCATTTATTCATCTGCCCTCCAGACATCTTGTGTTTTATTAGGAATATTTATAAGCTGTTATTTCCAGAAGGATCTTCGTGAAAGTAATCTTTTCTCCTTTTTTGATTATAAATGCCAGGGCACTGTTTGGGTGGTTGTGTGGTTTCCTTATTTAACGGGAAGACAAATTAATAAATCTCCACTTCTGCCTGTGAGATATTACACCCTTGAGAGAACATTGAGTCTTATTGTATGCTATCAAGAAAGTTTTGATGTCCTTTACAGTGCCATTGCCTCTAACATGAAGATAAACCTTTCGGAATGGGAGGGGATAGGAGGGTAATAAAGTAACAGTTGTCATTTTGACATCAAAGTTTAATCAATAAGATTTAATCCTTACTCAGTTGGGACTATGGCTGGAACAGTGTGTTCACTATAGCAGCAAAAATGATCAGTTTCATTTAAATGTTGAAACACTTCAATTTTAACAAAATAATAACTTTAAAACAGTTTCACATTTCTGTATTCACTCCCTCATGAGATTTGCCCATGTTCAGGTATGGAGGGACTTGTAGAAGCCGAGTGCTGATGCATGGCAAGCCTATAACAGAGCCCTTCTTTATTTTTTGTGTGGAAATGGAGCACTGTCAAGGACCGTTTTGTCTGTTCTATTAATGAGAAGAGGTCACATGGTGAACATATGAAATTTATTTGTCTACTCTTTAATGAAATACTAGTTGTCTTGTTGAACTCTCTGAGCTATAGTAAACCCAGAATCTAGGAGGCAACATGACATATTACACCTTCCCATTTCATGTCTCCAGTACACCCAGTGTGATGCATAAGAATAAGAAATGCTCTCTTGGATGCTGACTCTACTCTTTCAGTGGATGCATAATTTAAGATATTTGTTGTGGGAAGCAACTATGCCCTGAATACACAGGTGCAGTATGACAGAAAACACCATTCTCTTCCTTTCCCATGTGCAGAACTCAATGGATGCTGGATAAATCTGTTCTGAGGAAACATGATTTATGGGTAAAACTATTTAAAATAAACATGGTTTGTGGGTTACACTTGGTTTAGTTCTTGTAGCATGATCCATGGGAATGTTTCCTTGGAGTCTCAGCCAGCACTTGATTTATGCTATTTGCTACCGTTTCGAGAGGGAGCATGTCATGAAGCCAACTATTGCACAGCAAAGAGCCATAGCTCAAAGATTCCTAACATTACAAGGACAGGATGCACACCACAGTTTTCCATACACAACCAGTCTTTAATGCAGACGTTAATGAACTTTTAGATGGATAAAGTGGCACTTAAAATGCTATTTTCCCAATACAAAGAAAAGTCTTTTACTTTACATGGGCATATTGAGAATAGAATATATATATAAAACAAAGTTCCAGAGCGCAATCCACAGTGGTTGTTTGTTTTAACAAAGAATATGGTTTGCTAATTTAGCTTTAAACTGGTTACTCTATGTAAAATCTGAGTTGGAAAGATTTTTGTTTTGGTTTTTTTTTTTCCTAAAACTTGTTGTTTTGGTTTTTTTCTATTGAGAGTAATGTGCTTGTCTTTCCTGCCAGAAGGATGGCAGAAAATAAACTACTCAACAGAAGTATCAGCATCAATATAGGGGCCTCAGAGGAGTAGGTGCAGGCATGCCATAGCTAAGTTTTATGGCTTGCCTCTGACACAAACAGCATATGCAGATGTCTACTGCCTGGCTTGACTTTGAGTTCAATCATTCTTTCTTTTGAAAATCCTATCCTAAAAGAGATTAGTAGGAGTCCAGGGAGGAACGGCAGAAACTTTTCACTCTTTCAGATTTTGTGAGATCAAGAAAGGACTGAGGCAACTGAAGATATTTGGAACATTTCTAGATTAATTTTTTTACCAGCAAAAGCAAGATATGTTGATCTCCTGAATCGATACACCCTGCTATTCATATTGAGTTCAAATCAAATAAATATTTATTGCTAGAACTGGAATCTTGCAGAAGGATTTACTTGTTATTTTAAGTGGAGTTTCAAAAGACAGGAAAGGGCAACAAATAATCAAGAAAGCTCCACACCACTGGATAACCATAATTCCTTGCATAAATACGTGATTGTTCTGTTTGTTGTACTGTATTAATGCATTTGTTTTAATTTATCCAGGAGCCCAAACTACTTGAAATAAAGGAGGAGAAAGGTAAGAATAATGAATGTGTTCATTGTTTTTAGTACCAATGCTGTTGTTAATTTAACTTCGTATTTGTCATTTCGTTATGACAGCA